CGAAACATTTGCAAGAAAACAGCCAAGCTCAGAGAACCCCAAGGACTCCACGACTCCCATAATCCATGATAGTGGGGCATACTGGTTGTAAGTGTTTAAGGAGTTGTAGTCCGCAACTGGGAAGAACCAGTTAGAAAGACTAAACCAGGAAATTTTAGAGTTATAGACTGGACTGAGGAGTTGAAAAAATATCCCAGAAGGCAATGGCAACCTTCTTCCATATTGCTACCAAGAATATATGAAACTTTTTTTTTCCTTATATGTATCAATTTCACCAGCAAAGATGAAAAATATATGACTAGAAATATGGGTGTGAAGAACTAAGAAGTTCATTGTCTGGGAAAGCTATGATTCTTCATATCAACAAGATGGACCTACCGATAACTCTTAGTTGTGGTGGCTGTTTTAAATCTCCAGATTCAATGGGAATATGCATCAGATTGGCCACTGTGAGAAACAGAATCCTAGTCTAGATGGAACTTTGATCTGATAAGAGAAATACTGTAAGCGCTAATTTATTCCACAATATTCTCTTTAAATATGGACAGGGTTCATAAACAGACATATAGGTGACTATAGACACTGAAGATTTACAGCTTCCAGCTAAGATTCTGGATCTTCTTGGTGAGTGATGAATTCGTTCTTGGTCCTACATCAAAGATAAAATCCTTTTGTACATTATGCTAACATGAGCATTCACAACAACATAAAGCAGTTTTACCTCCACATTAATAATTCTGCAATATTATCTAGTTGCCTAAGTTGTCAAGAAAAAAAACACCGTCATTTCTTGTAAACGGTATATTGACTATAATTGTACGTTTCTTATTCTGAAGCTTTGCGGAAATTGAGGTTTGCAGTATTGCACACATCTAATATTAGGGAGGAAGAAGGAGGAAACCCTGTCAGTATCACATTTAACTGCTATTACTCTTCCTGTTAAATGACTTAGACGTTTCAGATCCATTTTAATGAGCACAGCTGTTTTTTTTTCAAAGTGAATGGTTTCTTCCAAAACCTGTTGAGCCTCTCTTAGAGAGCAAATTGTATTACTAACAGTGACTTACGACGCAGATGGCTGAAAGATAATAAAGGAAAGTCCACTGAGAAAACTCTTATGTTAACTCTGGTCCAGCAAGACAGAATCAGATGGGAAGGTGGTATTTTATGCAATAAAGGGAGGATCTCTTTCTGGTTTGGAAGGAAAAGGTAAGTCAATATTTATTAACAGGAAAAGTACTTCCGTGGAATTTTGTCTGGTTTGCAACTTGTGTTTATTTTCTAAGCATAAGGATCCTTTTGTTTTAGGGGATTTTTTGTTTTTGGTGCCTTCAAGTCAGTGTTGACTCCTGGCAGCTGCCTGGACAAGTCGTTGCAGTTTTCTTCGCAAGATTTCGGAAGTGGTTTGCCCTGGCCTCTTTCCTAGGGCTGAGAGAAAGTGACTGGCTCAAGGTCACCCAGCTGGCTTTGTGTCTAAGGCAGGACTAGAACTCACGGTCTCCCGGTTTCTAGCCTGATGCCTTAACCACTGCACACCCAATCTCAGACCTAATGATTTGACATTCAAAAATTAACATAGATGCAGTTAACAATATTGGGAGAGCTGTTCATAAATTCAGAAGATGAAATATCCCTCAGAGGACATACATTTTCTGTTTGCAGTTACATTATTCTCATGTTTTCTTAATAGTCTAAACATTGGCTATTCTTAGCATGTTAGAACAATGCAAGTACAGTACATTGATATGATGCCTTTGAAAAATGCACTTCATCAAGGGAGCTGGTGTGGTGTAATATGGTCTTGAATACTGAGATGTGAATCAAGAAGTCTCCAGTTCATCAGGGCATCTCTGAAGGAAGCCGTATCTCTCAATTTTAGATTCCTCTGCAGAAGAGGGGGATAATACTGGCCATTTTCTTGCCAGGACCAAAGGTCACATAACAGAACTGATTGAACCTGTAGAATAGAAGTCTGGAATTCTCAAGCCTCCTTTCCCAGAATCCCCATGGGTCTTCATACCCTGACCAAACCTCCTGTTTGGGGCTAGCAGCTTGGTAGTTCCACCCACCATCACCTATCTTTCAGGGGGCACCCCAGTGTAAGAGAAAGACTGAGTAAAAGCTGAATTCACAATATGCTAGTTGTACAGAGAAATAAAAGGTAATTAGACTTGACACAAGAAAACAAATCAGTTGCATACAATTCCTGGTGGAATGTTTTTTACTTATACCTACAGGATAGAAGACCCATGAAACTAATGTTCCCCTGATTCAGTTACCTAGACTAGTCCAGCTTCTTGGAAATTCCCAGACTTTAATCAGGGCCCCATTCTTTTCCAGCCTCTGTCCAGAACCTCTGCCAGAGTTCTGTCACCAGTTTTAAAAGGACCAAGGAGGGGCTGAAGGGACTAACTCGTTCTGTATATGACACAGAATGATTCTCCTCTGTATCTCCCTAGTGCAGACATGGCTGGCAGCCTATAGTATTATGAATATGTAGCAAGCGGGTACATTCATAGTAGGCCCCAGTTAGAGTGATGCTAGAACTAGGTGAGACCAGGACAAAAATGAATTCTGATTTGATTTAATTTGAATTTAAGTTTAGATAAAATAACATGACAAAATATGATTATGCCTGTGTATTTAATAAGAGACATGCCTAAGCTCAGTTTCAAAACAAAAACACCCCCCCCCCCCCCCCCCCCCCCCCGCCCCAGGATTTTAGAGGTTTGGCCAGCTTCTTGGCATTCCTGAACAAAAGCTAATTAGGGGGTAGCATGACAGCTGACAGTTATTTAATAACTAAATCATGTTCTGCCAATAGAGTATAAACTTGGACAAGTTCTGTCTCTTTTATATTTGCAAGAATAAGAAATGTGTTAATGTTAGTTAATTTGATAGAAAAGTATATAATACTAGATACTTGATTTGGCAAAAAAAAAAAAAAAAGAAGTCAGTGACCCTTAAATAATTCCCACTATTAAAGAGAATGTGCTTGATTTTATATAATAAGATATACTTGGATATACAAATAAAATGTTTGTAAGTGAAAAGCTGAGTTGCTGACTTTGAAAGAGGGAGATTTTCCTGTGGTAGTATGAAATGATGCATTACACAACTTCTGTTCTCTCCTCACTTCCTCTTCGCTGTACATTTAACTTTCTAATATCAATCGTGCCTTAATTCTGAGTAATCTCATTCATGCCAGTGTGCTTATTCTACAGTAAATGGTTTGTAATTCCAGCTACGACTTCTGATGTGTCAGACAGGCATTTCTGTCATTGTTAACAATAAGGTCTCGAACCTGTTTATTTCTAATGATGATGTGAATGCTAAGAGATTTGCTTAAATTTGCCAATGATTTTATTGATAGGAAATAATTCAGGCAAATTTTTCACACATAAAGAAGTACCAATCTGACTTCTTTGGTCTTCTAGGCAATCACTGAAGATGTAAAGCTACCTTTTCATATTAAGTGGCATGAAGATAAAACTAAATTCTTCCTTTGATCTGAAACAAATTGTGCATTCTATTCTATCTTTCTTCATCTCCAACTCTCAAATTCTTATGCCGCCCGTAATACATGGTTGTTTGGAGGTACATTTCTCATATTTGGAGAACTCCAGATGAATTGTGATTCTTCAGTCAGTTGTCTTTCCTTTTATCTCTGTTTTATTCTTTGTTTCTTCAAGGCACATCATTGAAATTCTTCCTGGTTTTTGCTTGATGATCATGCCATGGTTTTTCTATTTATTGTATGTCAGTCCATGAATTAATATGAATGCATATTGTTGGAAATAACAAAAGGACATCCTCTTGATTTGTGTGAGAGGGATGTGGTCAGTGAGAATTGCATTGTTTTATGCAAACCCATTTTATGTGCCTCTAGAGACATAGGCGAAGCATAATTCACACACACACTTCAGATCATACTTCATTTTTCACCAAATAAAAAGAGCAAAACAACAGTTAACATGCAGCAAAATGAACACACCCACATACACACATACATGCAGTCGACTAGGAAAGAGCTTCTAATTCCATGTACCTTTTATTAGTTTGATTATTCTAATTGGCTTTTTAATTTTGATGGAATTTTAAAAAAAATGCACAAAGGTGAGTAAGCAGAGTGAAACTGAGCAATGATGAACCACATTTCATAGCACATTTATGGACCAATAATTTTACAGTGAAAAGAATCAGGAGACATTTAACAAAAATATTCCCATACCAGTTTTCTATCAGAAGTATTAATCTGCTTCTTTTTTCAATTTAATACTTCCAGATGATTGGGAGCCTGAAGTTCATTTCTTCATAGGAGAAAGCAGACAACCTTGAATAAGAAGAGCAAGTATATTAAACAGATAATGAGATTGTGAAAATGAAGGCTTGTCTGAAATACCTATATTTTTTACCACTTTTAAAAAGAACAATGCATTGCAAATGCTTCACTAATGAATGAAGGACGTAAGACTCATAACTCTTTTGCCTACTGGACGACACTGAATTCTCTGTCTTGTGACTGTCAGAAGAGAAGATGTTGCAGGAATTTGACCTTAGCTTACTTAAGGGACTAGAGCAAGAAATTGTTCTAAATGTCCTTTGCCGTGATGAGATGCTGAGAAGACTGGAGGAAGAAAGAGTAAGGTATGTGTGTTTCTATTTTGGAATGTGGGCTGCTGCTGTTTTCTGGGCTTTGTAAACTAATCTACTGTTCAGAACATATAACTGAATATCTTTATGAGGATCAAACAAAATAGCACATAAAAATGTACAAATTTTGGAGTTATCCAGAATGTTTCCATGGTATAATATTACAAAAACACTTTCTAGTATAGAAATTTTGAACAAAACAATTTGTAGGAAGAAACCTTAATGCTTTTATCAGGACCATTCTTACAAGAATGATTGCTTCCGCCCCTACTGTTTGTATTAAAAATGTATTTTTAAATTTCTTTAATTATTCCTCAGTAAGCACGTAGTGTCCAATTTCTCAAATTGTCTCTCCCTCTAGCTGCCATTTCCGCTGCAATGTGGGCTCCTAGGGATTTGAAATCAATAGTGATGTTTCAATATGAGTGGGAGCTCGCTCGTAGATTTCTCCAAAAGACCTTCGAAAAACAAAGAAAGAAACAAACAGGTTATTGAGGGACAGGTCAAAGAAGCAAGTTCAACAAAGGACAGCTTTAGACAAAGATTCTGTTGCAAGTTTGAAAGCGATGCAGCATCACAGTGCTTTCTGATTTAGCGCAGTGTAGGTGAAACCATTGTAGAGCTAGATGTGGTTGCTACTTGAGGCACTGTGTGTCTCTTTTGCCACAGAAGAAGACTCTGGGGACACTCTGTGGATCCCAACACCTGTGTTTCAGTTTCTGTAATGAAAATGCTAGCTTAACAACTTCTAATTAGCTTAGGTAAACCAAAGTGAAACTGGTTTCCGTTTTGTCAGTTTTCTTCACTCTAAAATCAGAACCAGTCAATCTGCCAAACTCCAGATATCTGCTTCTTCTTTCTTTCCCTTTTGTGTGGATTGTTGTGATTTACAGGATCTGCAGCAGTTTGGAGTGGGATAGTGGTTTGTGTTCCTTCTTCCCAATGTTTCAAATAGGCAGAAGCAGAGATATTCAGAGACCAAGTTCGAAGTATTTTTGTGGGTTTGAGGAGTGAAACTGGTGGCCGTGTGGAAGTGCCATCATTCATTGCCCATAGAGTCAGCTCAGTATTTAGGTACAACGTTCAGAATTTTGGAAAAAGTAAGGCTTTTAATGCTTCCATGCTGATTTTCAGCATAATTTCCCAAGTAGTTTACAGTATTAGAAGTTTAAATATTAAGAAACCATACCATTCAGTAAAGCAACAATAATAATTAGCCATAAATTGTTAAATATGAAAACAAAATTCTATGTTCAAAACCAGTCAGGTTTTTTTTTTTAATTCATTAAAAAAATCCAATGCCCTTCTTAACTAATGATGGATTGATAGTGTACTGGACAAGCATATTCTTGAAGGCAAAGTTGCACAAATAATGGGATAAATAATAAAAAATGTTCTATAACTCATACTATTAATACTGTAAGATAGATCTTAATGTTTGTGCAATTTTGTATGCTTGCAAATGGTTCTTCAGGATGGTTGGTTTGGTTTACTACAAATATCAGCCCAAATTATGGAGAACCCCCTAACTGGTCTTTCAGAGGAATTGAGACCTCATTTAGAACAGAATAAGCAGGTTCATCCAGATCTGTCAGCTTTCCCACCAATTGTATAGTATGTCAGAATAAAGTTTCAACTAATTCTCCCTCATTCAAAACACCTTTTAGAGAATGTTTCACAATTTCCCTGTGATCAATAGATGAAAATGCAAGATAGAACTTGACTCTATGTCAATGATGCTAGCTCAGGGGTGTGCAACTTTGACTTGCTCAAGGGCTGCACCCAGACTTTATATTAGGACCACATTCCAAAAATGAATGGGGTCAAGCCCACATTTAGAAGGAAGCTTTAGTAGTGTTAAGCGTGAAATAGATGTCTTAAGTATTTTGAAGAGTTAGACACCCATTTCGCCCTTCAAACTCCCTTGACCTGGCAAAACTGTGAAAGCAGGACCCCAAATTTGGCTCCAACCATTCTGGGAGGTTTAGGGCTCCACAAAAGGAATGCTGTCATGTTACTTTTTTTGAAATCCTTTGGAGTCCAAATCTCCAGAGCAATTCCCCCATCCGCTTTATTTAAGGATATAAGAAGGAGTGTAAGCAGAATAGAATTTTGCAATGCCCCCAGTGTAAAAGCCATTGAGAAATATAGAAATACTCTAGGAACATGGGCAGATTGCCAGATTACCATTCAGGACAGACTGGAACTTGCCTAATGTCAATCCACTCAGATCATTCAAGCCATGCAGCTTAAGACTCCATGTTTCATGAGAATCTGTAAGGTGATACCTTTCCTGGTTCTTTCTGTGCCCTGAGCTTGTAAGAACCAAATTAAAATACATCCAACTCCTCAGAATCATCCAAGATTGCTTGGAATTAGGATGCTACCATCTTCTCCAAGATTTTGTTAAAGAATGGGCCATTAAATATTCTGCGGTAACTTCCCAGGCTATTTGATATTTTCAGTGGACGTTTAGTAGAAGGGTTTATCTCCATGGAACTTGGTGTATCACAATTCACAGCTACAGCTTATTAGTATTTAGATGACTTAGAATTTGTAGTGCTAGTAATTGTCCCACCTGGCAAATGTGTGTATATTTTTATGTCTTTCTGGACAACCACAGCAAACTGAAAACCGAGCTGCAGCAACTTTGGCGTAAAGGAACAAAAAATGCCAACTGTGGATCTCAGAAACAGTCATGTGCCCGCTGTCAGAAGTCGTTTGGAATCCTGATCAATAGAGGGGCAGTATGCAAAGGATGCAGTCATCATATATGCTCTCGATGTCGCATTGCTCAAAATGCCTTCCTGTGGAAATGCACCGTTTGCTATGCTTTTGAGTAAGATCCTACCTTGGTTTAATAGTTGAATTACTGGTTATTCATCAGTTGCTTTCAGAAGTTAACACACATCAAATGGAGTATGTATTTGACAGTGAGAATCTCTATCTTGGGAATCAGATTCATAGGAGTCTCAGAGCAGCCAGCTGCTGAAAATGGTGGAAGGGCTTGAGAATGCCTAAGTGGACAGTTTCAGAAGGAGGATTGCAAGAGTAATTCCTGAGGAGGGAGAAAAAAGAGTCGAGGGTGGGTATAGGCATGAACTGATTTTCAGAAAAAAAACTGCTTTTTTCCCATTTATTGATAAAACTGTTGTAGAGCTGGGAGCCAAATTAGATGCATTACTTATGCCGTTTGAATGGAGTTTCAAAAATAAATGGCAGGTATGGGGAGTCTGGATATGGATTAGTATAGGATTTGAAGGGAAAGGGGCTTTGTATGCTTGTGCAAAATCATAGGATACATAGCTCTGGTTATGTAAGAGTGATGTTCCACTGCTCTTTATCACCATGATGGAATTGATTTAATTTTATTTTTCAATAACGAGCCCAAAATCCTTGGTTCCAAAAATCCTTCTTGAAAAAGATGTGTATAAAATTCAAATAAGTACTTATTTTGTTTTTTGCAGGGATATTAAAGTGAAAACAGGTGAATGGTTCTTTGAGGAGCGAGCAAAGAAATTCCCAGCTGAAGGTAGCAAATAAAAAACAGAAGCATTAAGTCATATGCAAGATAAATTGATAAGTTTCTCCTTCTAATTCACGTTTTATCTTAGCAAAAAATACAGTTTTCTAGAATGTAAATATATGAGTGTTGAGATTTCAAAATTCAATTTTATTCAGCTATAATAGTAGTGATTGTATTGAATTGTTTAAATTAATCTTGCCTTAGTTATAAATATATACATTTGTCATAGATAATAGCACCCAACTGCTTATGTTATTTCACTTTTTCTGCTGAATTTAATGATTTCATTACAATTACAGTTATGCATATCTATTTATGTTTTGGTTGTCCTTCTTTGCATTTATGAGTGGCCTCTCTGTGATCCATGAATCCCATCATCATTATCTCCAGTAAATTTCTGCGGTAGAAATAGGTAGAAATATTAGAAGTGCAACATAAATATAATATTATGGCCATTGCAGGGAAGTAATTGCGAGTTTTGCAGTTCATTTTTATGAGATCAGTCAGCAGTACTCCTTAAAGTTGTATCAGAGAGAGCACTTTGGATATAGGGAAAAAGATGATCTGAGTAAGGCAGAAACGATAGTCATGACTTATTTTTAAATGAGAAGCTATTATTCAGTAATAGAGTGTTAGTATGAACTCAAAAGGAAGAAGTATTTAATGAAAAGCAAAACCATTCCTTACAGAATATGGGAATATTCACTATTTTTATAAAAGGGAAGCAAGAGAAGCGAAGAAGTGAAGGTAGAGGTAAATTGAAGAAGGTTAGCATAATCTACTGGTGAAGGTGCTGCAAGTGGACTGGGGAGACCCAGACTCAGGTCCCCATTCAGCCGCAGATCTCCCTGAGTGACTTTTGGCTGGTCACTCTCTTGCAGGCAAATCTAACTCATAAGGTTGCTGCTGTGAGGTTAGAATATATGCCATCTGTACCTCTCAGAAAACGGTGGGACAGAAATGAAACAAATAACTGATATGTTGCTAAAATAAAGGAACTTATTTATTTGCTGTTATATTGTAGCAGTGGGCCAATTTGCCACTGACTTTCTGCAACAGAAGAAGCAAAAGATGATTCAGTGATGTGCCAATAAGTGATGGTTTCCTCCCAGTACCCACATGGCCTCCTTCATAGAAAGTATATTCTTGTAGAGTTACGTCCACATGGGTTTCATCTATCAAGGTGCAGAATGCTATTTTTCTCTGGTGGCAGATTCTACCCTAGGCAGTAGGGCGCAATATTTTCCGAGACGCATAACAACAATGAGAACTTCGATGGCCCATGCGTGGAAAATACAATATTCATACCAGGGTGTCTTTTTTTACATTCTGAGAGTTCAAATCCCTCCAGTCCTTAAGTAATATTACAATCATTTGATTTTTTTTTTTAATCTAGCATAACACATAAAATTATTCTCTGGCTTTCCTCGGTATTGCTTTGTAAGGCTTCTTTAATTTTGCTCTCTGCCAGGCTAGATGCTTATGTGGTTTGGCCATGACAGAAGACAGATGAGGGACACATGTCCCTTGTGTTTTCAGAAGTGGGAGCATGTTTCTGTGGCAGCTGTTACTGTTTGTCCTTGTACGCGAGGTGTAATGGATGACATTTACTTCTGACTCTCTTGAGACTGACTTTAAGCTGCAGACCTTATGACTGAAAGTTCTGTTGTGCTCTAGACTTTAAATTTGCTTCCTTTTCCCTGACAAAGAGTTCTGGAGAACTTGAAGGCTTGCACAATATTTGTGCCAGTGTGGTTGGCCCATGTATTGCTTAAATATGGATGGGGTTTTTTTTTCCTTATGGGCCATCATACCCACCCTTTTTTTAAAAAGCTGTCTTGACAATTTTCTTAAGTAGAAATTTCTATACACACTCTTGCCAAAGTTGCCTGTGCCAGGTGTCAGTACTTAGTTAACTTCCTCATCTATTCCCCATCTTCCAGAGATGATTAATTCCAGAGCATTTCTCTTGGAAACGCACTGGAAGACAGAGGCCACATTGAGTCCTGTTCTAGTTGCAAAGAACTGGAGCTTACCCAAAGGCACCGCTACTGTTGAGACACAGAGGGATACAGAGGGCTGCTGGGTATGTTTTTAGTGTGTGTTTTTTTTTAAATGATAGAAAGGGGAAGAAAGGCAATGCAATTTAAAAGTAAGACGGTGCAAGGAAAAGGGGAAATCATGAAAATAGATTATGTCTGCTACAATTATTTTTTAAAATTAAAAATAGGAAAATAATCTATCAATGAATTTTAATTTCATTTTTAACTTAATTTCATATTTAATTAATTTCATTTATTTAATTTCCTATTTCACATGCATATGTTATACAGTATTTATAGGAACAAGATATAAAAATCTAAATCTGGGTATAGAATTAAAGTAAACCCCCGTGAAAGAAATCAGTACTATTTTTATTTGTAAATGTTTGTGCTGTTCCTCACCATTTTGATATAATGTCACACCCCTGATGTCAGTGCCCCACCTTGATATATGTGCCTTTGTGATTCTTGGGTGCATCAGGTTGCCTCTTCCTTCTTTTCAGCAGCTCTTGCCAGTCTTTAGCGGGGTGTAGAAATGGGAAGAAGAAACAGGAAAGTCCAATTATGTGTGGGTCAAAACTTGTCTTCCAGAACATTGGTTTTCAGCTAATTACTTTATATCAATCTTCTTCCCACCCCAAGATGTACAGGACATCTGCCTGGCCTGACTGACTGGGGATTATGAGATTTCAAATTCTATAAACTTAAGAGGGAATCAGCTTGGAGAAGAGTTAACATTTCCTAGATTGATGGCTTTCAATGGATAAAGCTGGGTTTTTGAATGAAGATATTTGGCAATCAAAGTTTGATAAGAACAAAGATGTTGACTTTAACAACTGTCTAAATATACAAGATGGCTCATATCTTTTCTGTTATCCGAGAAAAATGGGCTCCTAGCAGTTTTCAGTGGCAGTTATTGATATTCTTCATCTTGCAAATGAGGTGTTATATTATGAATTCAAACAGTGCCCTCTCTTGGCATTTTATCATAATGCCAGAGTAATTATTCAGTCTTAAATGTAATATAATCATCATTATGGTAATATTTAGGAAAAACTTCCATGTTAAATTACTAGAAGCTCATTCCAATCCAGATCCAAAATGCAGTATAATATTAACCTGTCCTGCCAAAGAAAAGACTTCCCTTAGCATAAGGACTACCATATCTGGACTATAGAAATCCAGACATCCAATAGATAACTCTTCCTTTCCATGATCATCTGTTTGCATGTTTGCAACCCAGATATAGCAGTGTCATATTAGCAGAATGGACAAGAAGTTTCCTCCTCTCATTTCCAATCCTGCTTGCGCCTGCAAAATCTGCTTCGTGGGCCTGGGGATGTCCTGCAGTAGATTTGGATGGGACACAATGGGGAACAGTGTAATGGAGAGGAAAATCCAGTTGTAGATGTTGAGTTCTACTCATCTAGTCTTGGATATCACCCAGGATTAGAATTCAAATAAAGCTCAAACAGCCTCATGGTCCCAACATTTTCACAAAGTGATTTCTTGATCCTGGAAAATGGAGAAAAATAAATGGGAAACGATTTCTGTTGATAAAAGAATATCTAAACGTTTGGACAGTAACTGGGAACTGAATAAATGTAAAAGCTGGTCCAGAGGCAATCCTGCTACCCACGATTGTGCTTATGCCCCATTAAAATTAGCCAGCTTCAATGTATTAGGTTGCACAGGGACAAAGATGTAAATCTTCTTAGTTACAACTCTCTTGAAGCCAAAATAATTTAACAGGCTAGTAAGAATTAACCACAATGGCAACAATTATTTTCTGTTAATTGCCTCTGGGTTCAGTTTACAATATTTACTACTGGACAACATAAGCTTCTGATATACTTGGCACAATGTTAACAATAAGGAACTGCTTAATTAAAACTTAGTTTTAAAAGTTCAGTACAAATGCATTTTTATCTGTAACTGTTGTAATGCTTCGTGGTACTGGTGTGGTATTAGTCACACAGTTCAAGACCATTATTTGAAAAACAAGTTATATATTTGACAAGCCTAAATAAATAAGCAAAACAAATTATCTTTTTAAAAAAGATTTCCAGGTTGCTTTTCAGCTGAAGTGTTCCACATGACTAACCATAAGAAAATAAATTCAGTTCAGCAACTAATGCTAACCCCACTAGCCACACAGAAATTTGCTAAGAGCAGAAGTAAAAAAACCAGCTTTAATAAAATGGCCTGTTCAACATATGGAAGGAGAGCTCTACGTACTCATGGGCCAATGAGGAACATTCCAAAATCTGGCTGTATTTTTGAAAATGTTCTATCGCTGTTTGCTATTCCCCAAAATTGTGAAGTCAACCACCTCACTTCCAAAGTCCATAAGGAACTTATGAAATTACTTTATGAATGTCAAATTATTGGTTCATTAAACCAAGTATTGCCTATTCTGACTTTTCACATAATCTGTTATCTGGCATTTTTGACTGGAAATGCTAGGATGGAATCTAATATCTTCATACTAGTTGGCCATTTGCTCTATCACTGAGCTAGAATCTCTTCTTAGTTTAATAAACTATACAAATAAATAATATAAATAATATAAATAAAAAAATAAATAAGAATACTCTTTATTGCTTCCTAAGTACAGTAACTCACCAGAGCCATATGATGATGGTGATGGTGATGATAGGAGGAGAAGGAGAGTAGATTTGATGTCCCAAGGTATTGGTATGAACATAATGTTGAACAAATGCTTGAGAATGACCATTTAAACATTTTATGGGATTTCCAAATTCAAATGGACAGAAATCTAGAGCACAATACGCTGGACACCACAATAGTTGAAGACAAGCTCTATACAGTTTACTTATAGATGTGACAGTACTAAATGACACTAGAGTAGCTCAAAAGGAACTGGAATGGATTGTAAAATATTGGGACCTAACAACTGAAATACAGAGATTATGCAATAAACCAGCAAAAGTTTGCCCCATAATTATTGGAACATTAGGAGCTATAGCAATGCAATTGTCAAAACGGTTGACAAAATTGAAATTATTTGACCTCACGACATTTACAAAAAAGAACCACATATATATTATGGTGATATTTGGACAATCCTTAGGCTTTGGGATAGCTTGAATTGACCCTAAATCACCAGCACAGTATTTTTCAGAAAAGAAATCCTCCTCCTCCTCCTCCTCCTCCTCCTTTATTTGCAGTCTCACTTGGTTAACAATTAATCTAAGTAGTTAAAAATGCTCCTGCATTTAGCTGTTGGAATGTTAATTGTACTTCCTTTCACAACAATCTTTTCCACAACCTTGTAGGTATGTGAACAGCATCATTTCATTATTTAAGACTAAGGGTCTGAATTTTTGGGCTGCTTAGTCCGTGAGGTAAATTTGAAGAAATGATTTCTGTTGATATAACTACTGATCAAACTGATTAAAGCTTGGAGCTCTGGTGGGATCTTTTCCTCCACTAGCTATTTTTCTTAGGAACATCAGAACGTGTGTTTGAGTTTTCCTCCCTTCATTCTTCAATGTCCAGTTGCCTGGTGTTTTGCAACCCTAGCCCTGGTATTACAGGTTAGGCTGACTCAAGAGATGGGACTTCATTTATATAGAAGTTCTCTTATATAGATTAATGAATCTGGAGTAGCAGAGTCACTGCCAGAGGGCTTCTGAAAAGCATACACAGACTTCCCTGTTTTACTGGCACACACAATATGGAAGAGCAAGTGATCAGCCAGTGTGAGAAAATAATTTTTATTGTCAGCTTAGTTGATTATGCCAAAGAATTATTTTCTATATTGTTATTGACCTGAGGCAGAATGATTTTCTTTGTGGACAGATATAAGAACACATTCCAAGTGTAATTGTTAATAATCGACACCTTGTATTGCTGGATGCCATTCATCTTTTGTAACATGTGATGGATTGAATCACAGGGGTTGACTGTGTCTTAGTTGACCACCTATCCATAGCTTTATAATCAGTAAGATTTTTGTAATACTATTTGTACTGAAAAGTTGTAAAACATTTAAATGGTATTATATAAGAAAGTTGCTGTTTTCGTTTTATGACCTTGCCTTATTGGTGTTTCCTTCTTTTTAAAAAGTTTTTGCTGTAGTTGAGGTTTCCATATACTGTATAATACAGGGGTTGAATAAAATCAGGAAGAAAACATTTTAAACCACAAACATTTACATATTGGCAACATCAAGTAGCAAAAACAGTTGATAAAAATGGCTACATCTGATTAAAAAAAACCTGGTATGTGAGTACAAGTATATTGCTACCAATGACCTTGGTGGGTTCTTTTCTTTCTTGATAGGTAGATATGAAACTGCTGGTGCAAAACTGTTGAAATCTTATCAGAAATTAAGGTAAGGACAAGAAGGTTGACGTGTCCTACAGAGGTTTGATGCAGTACTCAGTGCACATTATCCTGTGCAAAAGGCCTATTGAAGCTTCCGGTGGATGTGGGTGGGGCAGGCATTTCATTGCCGTGGGCCCTCTTTAGATGCAGAAATAGAACTAGTACAACATCAGCCATGGCAGCATTTCACAACTTGGCACCATCTAGATATATTAGAATTGCAATTCTTGAAATCCCTAAGCCCAACTTTAAAAAGGCTGTAATATAAGATGTCTGTGGCAACTGATTCATGAAACCTCCGTGCCCAAATCTTTACCTAGGGAAATTGTTTCAGTTCTCCTTGTGATAAAATTCAGGGCATCGAAAACACCGCTTTTTATCTCAGTGTTGCAGTCTAGACAAGTACCTCTGTGTGGCACTGTATTATGGCTTTTGCTATAGTCACAACTCCAGCAATGATGGGGGGTGGGGATGGGGGTTAGGGGACTTCTCTTTAACACTGTGGCCCTTGACCCTGATACTGTAAGCTGTTGTTCTTGCTACGTTGTTAAAGGGGATTAGGTTGTAAAGCTTTGTTTCTGTTCCAGTTAAAGGTTAAAAAGATTAAAGTTTAAAAATAAATACCAAGGCTTACAGGAATGTGACTGACAGATCACAAATAGTATTACCTCTTGAATGTTTAAGCGAAACTGGGGAGTTGACTTTCTGCAAACTATTCAACCACACATTTAATTTCGGCCCTGATATCTAGTAGATTTCCTTTCCTACTGTTATTTAAGATCAATTTTAATACGATGAGTTGAAATGCAAATGTTATGATTTAAATGTAATGCCATATTTTACACACATACAACAAGTATGTTTTAAATGAGATTTCTGATGGCATTTCATACAGTTATCCTAATGTAATGAGCTTCCATGTTTTAATCATAGGTATGATCTAGTTGACAAAAAACCCAGAATATTTAAATATTTTTTGTAGGCTACATACCATTGCTGTACTTACTATTAGGCTAGGTTTACCTAGGGTGGAATTTTAAGCATTTCTGATGGGTCTTACGTCTGAATGATCAAGCTGAGTGTTGTACTCAAGTATATCCACATCATGAGTAGGCAATATTTTCAGGGCAGCAATGGGTGGGTCTGTGGCCAAAGTGAGTAGGAAGCAGTAGTTGCTTCCAGGCAGCTCAAAGAAGACATTGGGAAGCTGGGATTATATTTTTTTCTTATCTTTTGGACATTTTATTAGAAACTTGAGAAAACCACTGACATTCAATGGCAAATGAAAAGACAAAAATAGCAAAGTCTAATAGGATATAAGTGCCCAATGTTACTAGCATGCTGTATGTCCACAAGGAAGTGTTATGATTGCTATTCTTCTTGTTGACTTTAAATGGATCAATTTGGGGGGACCTCAGTATTTTTGAGAAACTAATAGTGGTAGATTCAAATCATCATGATAATAGGTATCTTTCCAAAGTAGCAGTTTCTCCTTACTATGTTCGTGGCTAAGGTAACTGGGGAAGCTGTGAGAAGAAATGTTTATCTACCCATGAGTAGATGGACAGATGAACCTATTTCAAACTAAGGTTCCATGTTCCTATCAATCTTAGCTTATTTCTCGTATCAAGAGATAGATGTATTTCTTGCTCTTTGTTTGAACTGGGAAGTTAGGCTGAGTAGACTGACCTCCTAAGTTATACCTTTATTTAACTTACTCAGTTCTTTCCTGAGGGGTCTGTCATGACCCCTTGTAGTCCTTTAAGCTTCAGATGGAGATTTTAATGTATTTTATTAGCTTGGTGTTTGGTTTCTAATGTTTATACTGTTTTTGTCGTCTTTGTTTTTGTATGGTATTTTGTACTGAATTTTCTGTCAGTAACTTTTTATTATTATTTTATTGTGAACATTGGGTGGAATGCCAGTTTATAATAGAAATTCCTGAATATTACATTTAGGGATAAATTCTGAAAAGTGAAGGAGATAGTTATAGAAATGTAGCAGATATGTTTGCAAATTGTTTTGTTTACATTCTTTTTTCCTTCAACTCTTAGCAACATATCAGTGATTCCTCCAACTCCTCCACCTTTTGCTGAATCCACCAATGGAACGAATGCATTGGTAATGTATCAGTCTGCCTTTCAGTTCAACCAATCACCTATTCATAAAGCTTTCAGCTATCATTTCTTTTATGCTTAATATCTTTTCTTGAATCTTGTGTGTCTTTTTTGTCTGGTGGACTCCAGAGACTGATCTCTGAGTATGTTTCAACTTTTCTCAGCCTTAATTAGCAGACATAGCTATTAATTTATATAATCAACCACATACTACAATTAAGTATGAAATAGGGAAGGGCCTGGATTTGAAGAACAAAGAACCTCTCCCTTCATGATCTTCATTTCCCTGCCACCTGGCTCTTCCAGTATTAATCATGATCAGGTAAAGGAAGTGAATGTATCTGGGGAAGGGGGCTGCATGGACCTAAGTAGCAGATAGAGATCCACCATCCCTTGGGGTAAATCTGAAGTGCTGTCAACTGAGACAACACTGAATTCAGCTATATTTTCTGTAACTATTGTCTTGGCCACTAGCGCCTTCCTGTTCAGTGTTCAGTCCCCTCTTCAGTTCAGTTCAATACTGTAGACATTTATTTAGTCTCCTTCTGTCTTGAACCATAACCATGCTATGGTCATTTTCTGTAACATTTTCTTCCTTAATTTGGAAGGGAATTAATTGTGATTGCCTTTTGTTTAACCTGAGCTGCCTCTTCCACACTCTGGGATCTGATACACTTTCCTATTATAAAATGGAAGAACTCTCAGTTTATTCATTTGCCCCATCTTCATGATAGATTTAATTTTATCATTTAATTCCACTAAAATGAGGACGGTGAAGGTATCTGTTCAGTTTCCCAAGATTAGTTAACAGTTCATATTCTACAGCCAGGGTCTTTCCTTAATATAATGCAGGGAGCAGTATTTAAAATTCCCATGAGCTAACGCTGAGTCAAACCAGTTGTAGTGCCTGATTGCTTGTTATTTTTTGAAAGTGAATTTTGCCTTTTGTTGTAATTGGGGAACTTTGTTACCCAGTTTAAGCCTTTGGAAGACATACTTTAAAATAATATAAGCATGTCAATTAAAATAAGTGCCTCATTTTGAAAGTGGCTAAACGTTTTGTTTAAGTTAAAAAGGCTTTAAAACTTTTAATGAAGAGAATAGTGATGAATTTTCAAGTAAAGTAAGAATGCGACTGAAGTAAGGAAAACTGGAAAGCTGATGGCAAGGGCAGGATAAGGAATTAATGGCTATAATTGTTCATTAAATTATGTTTGCTGATTCGCAAGACCTGCCTCTCCAGCCATTCCATCAAGGGGGTAATAATCTCTCTAACGTGTGAATGAGTTGGTGAGCTGCCATGGTTTATTTGTACTTGGTTTTGTTAATAGGTGTTCACTAAGAGTACTCTTAATCCCATAAGGTTTTGTGACTGTCCAGATTTAATGCTATAAGCTTCCCAGGCTATATGTATAGAATAAAGCATGTCCTGTGATAGAATTTACTGTGATAGAACTCTTAGATTGAATTGTATTTCCTATTTAAACATGTTCAAAAATGAAATGTAATAATTATAATAATCATTTACCAGATCAGGGCTGCAAACGTCCAGATGGCCACTAGGTGGCAGCAAAGTGACAAACATCTAGTGGTTTTCTGGATTTTTGCAACCCCGACCTGGTAGCTCTAAATATTGGCTTGGATTTATAAGATTACTATGGCAAACCTTGTAATCTTGTAGATATCAAAGGACTGAACAGAATTTGGTTTTAGGCATGAAAGGCGGCTGGGTGACTTTGAACCAGTCACTCTCCCTCAGCCCAACCCACCTCACAGGGTTGTTGTAGGGAAAATAGGAGGCAGGAGTATTAGGTATGTTTGCCACCTAGAGTTGGTGGGATAAAAATATAACAACAACAATAATAACAACAACAATAATGTATGCACCATTAATCCAATTATCAGTTAATAATTAATCCAATGCACCATTGTTGCTACTTTGTCATGCCATTGTTTGTAGTCAGTCTGTGCGATCCTCTTCCCGCCACCTACACAGCGGGCCCCTGCTTCCAGAAGAACTCTCCGCCTGGATACAAACAAATGGGTGAACAAAGAAGAACAAAATGG